GCCAGTCCAGTTCGATGCCCAGAGAATTCGCCGCCGAGAGTTCAATGTCTCCGCCTGCATGCTGCATGAGAGTGTGCCTCAGGGTGGCGACCTGCAGCTGCAGGGCCCGGCATCCCCCCCCGGGGGGGGGGCGTCACTGGACCTGGAACGGTGGCGCGGGAATCAACTTGTATCAGAAATACCTCCGGACTTGGCACCCCCAAGCCCTGAGATCGGAAGAATCTGTCGATACATGTTCTTTAGGGTCCTGGCAGGTCTTAGGAGGCCCCAGCTCAACGCCTTGAACGACCCGAGCGAGTCTCGCGGTCCTCACGTCGCATTCCTTGAGAGGTTGCCTCTCGAAAGCCGATTACCCAGGTGAAGATACCAATCAAGCCTCAGCTGTCCGCAAAAAAAAAACGAACAGGGCTGTAGGCCGCATGGACCATGACATTCATATGCTGTTCCTGCGAGACTACGATTTCGTGCCGAAGGTGTTGCTTCGGGCTATGGCATAATAAATGGGACGAGAAAACGAATCTCGGCCACGGTTTTTACGGGCCCTTGCTGTCAGAAACGCTTTCAGCGTCTGAACTTTCATGCGTCGCAGGTGGCCCAAGCCTGCAAATCGAATTGCAAAAAAGAAAAGCAAGGCAGCTCAGGACATTTTGTCTGGTCAAGGAGCTAATCCAGCCTGAAGCACGCCGCAAAGAGTGGGGGCCGCCGCGATGCGTGACGGGATGCAAGGTCAACTCCCCTAGTAAGTGCTAGGACCAGATGCGAGAAGGCACTACAATTCGTGGCTTATCGGAGGTCGCTACAACCATCTTGCACTCTGCCACGCTTCCTCTAAACCGTTGACGTGCTGCTGACGTGCTCTAGTTTCGGGTCTTTCAGATAAAATCTTCGTAGCTTAGGAAGCAATCCCTATTCCTTCGGGAATGGCCCTCATGCGGCATGCTGCCAAGCCTGCAGGCAGGCTCTTCGTCGCTCTCCTCCAATTACTACTAAGTGTTTCGGTTTGGGGCAAGTCGGATCCCCATGAACTCTCCAGCTGCCCCACTTCCGTCCCAAATCTCAAAGACTAAGACTAAGACTACTACTACTACTACTACTACTACTACTACTACTACTACTCCTACGGCTACTGCTACTAGTACTAGTAGTAGTAGTAGTAGTAGTAGTAGTAGTAGTAGTAGTAGTAGTAGTAGTAGTAGTAGTAGTAGTAGTAGTAGTAGTAGTGGTAGTAGTAGTAGTAGTAGCAGCAGTAGTAGTAGTAGTAGTAGTATTAGTAGTATAGTAGTCGTAGAGTAGTAGTAGAGTAGTAGTAGTAGTAGTAGTAGTAGTAGTAGTAGTAGTAGTAGTAGTAGTAGTAGTAGTAGTAGTAGTAGTAGTAGTACTACTACTACTACTACTCCCACGCACTCCTGCACTTCCAAAAGGGCATGGAGAAGGATTCAGCAGCAGAACCCGGCTCCTCTGCGGTCTCCAGACTTGGTTTTGATTTAGATGAAGTCGATCGCAGATGGCAGGAAACCGTAGAATATACGAGCGTTCACTGGAATATAGAAGTATACATGTACACTTCTATATGTATGCGCATGTGCATGCGTATATATAAAAATGTGTGTGTGTGTGTGCACCTTTATATCTATACATAAATTCATTCCATACATTCGATAGACCATCCCTGAGCCTGCCCTGGACAACTGAAATGGACAGTGTCGCGAAATGGTCAGCCATGGTCGTGTTTGATCTCGCACCTGCTTGAGGTTACCGGGAGAGAAGGTAGTAGCAGTAGTAGGAGTAGTAGGAGTAGTAGTAGTAGTAGTAGTAGTAGTAGTAGTAGTAGTAGTAGTAGTAGTAGTAGTAGTAGTAGTAGTAGTAGTAGTAGTAGTAGTAGTAGTAGTAGTAGTAGTAGGCTGTGGTAGAATCAACACATTCTTGCAGGTCAGACTCGAGGAAATGATCCCAATCATGTTCCAAGAGCGCCGGTAAAACTTTAATTGAACGCACGTATGACGAAACTGGGGTTGATCTGGGGGTTGTCGGATGGCGGGCTGCGCGGGATGAAGTTTTGAAGCTGCGGAGGAAGTTGATAGGGAAGTTGATGAAGGCGGAGAGAGCTGTATCTAGTAATCCCAAACTGCGGTGGCTCAAGATTACAATTGAACCGAAAGTTGATCGCTTTCCAACAAGTCCTGACAAACTGAGTCTGAGTGCAGAATACCTTGGACTATTGTACTCAAGCGCAATTAGCCCACACACTCGCGTCCTCCATTCTGTGCTGGAGCTGCAGCTGCTGAAACTCCTCCCAGCTGAAAAATGTGGGGGTTCAAGTCGAACTCCCAGGAACTTCTAACTCCTGCAAGACCCAATCACTTCATCCGGAACGCCAACATCCCCAAATCACAACCTTAAACACCAAACCGAGCCCCAGACCCAAACCCATCTAGGCCCCTGCGTTCGCATTTAGGGCTCCGGGCTCGGACTCTCGCTGTGGCTAGTTCACTGTGGCTAGGGGGAAAGCTTCTGGGCGCGGTGCTGTACGCTAGTGGCGAGAACTTACGATAAAGATAGTGGGTATATGTAGGGGGCCAGCAGCAGGGCATGAGGCTTTCGGGCCATCTCCCTCTCCTGGACGAACTTCTCCAGCTTCGCTTGGTCTCCCCGCTCCTGCTCCGCAGAGGTGTTTTTTGGGGCGCTGACAGGCTGTCTCCGGCTGTGTTCCAGGATAAGCAGATCTCAAGACACAGAGAAACACAAGCGACGTGAAACAGGTAGGTGCATATAGATGCATATGGATATGCTTATGGAATGAAACCTTGGAATGTGTGAGAATCTGTGCAGGCCTCCCAGGCCACTTGCTGCTAAGCACGCATAATAGGGGCCAGCTGTCCCACCTCACACCTCACATTTGCCACCTTACAACCAACCCTTAAATTCCTGAAACCTCGGCCCAACTGCGTCCTGCAAGAATCTGGCCAAGTGATTCGCGGAGTTTACGGTCTCCTTGTTGGCCACGCCATAGATGGCCAGACCTTCATTGTAGGAGAAAAAGGGTTTTTGCATTGTTGTTGCACTGTTCGGTCTTTTTACGGTGTGTTTGATTGTGGGCGCAAAGTTTCAAAGAGTCTGGGGGGTTTCAAGCTTATGGCCACGGCCGAAATATGTATACTTGTCAGGCCAGGACGCATTGCTCGAGCGCCTCGCGGAAGAGCCGCTCCGCCTGCTTCCAGAGTGCTTCCAAATCTTTCAGAACATTCGGGGGCACTGATGAGGGGTGACTTGAAGCTTGGGGCCTACACCTTCTGCCAGAGGCCCTAGACCATAAAGCCATAAGGATTCACTCTCTGCATCTCGCTGCCTCGTCCAAGTGGCTGGCGTGAGCCAGCAATTTGGCCAAGTTGAACATGGTACGCAGCGTCTGCGGATGCGCGTTGCCCAGGTTGGCCCGGCCTCGGTGCCGCAGCCTGCCTCGACCTGCCTCCTCGAGACGTGTTGAAATAAAAAAAACAAGCCCAGGATACCTCTCACGAATATGATAAAATGATCCTCTCTTCAAAACGTGTGTGTGTATGTATGACCGCCTAAATACGTGAGGGCTGTGATAGAAGTATCTATAGAGAAGTAGTTGCAAAAGCAGAAGGATATTGGTACGCGCGTGAAAGCGCCTGCATCATCCCGGAGAGACGGAAAAACTGCCCGTGGGGATTCCACGAGGAAACTGGCCCGGAGTTTTTAGATCCCGGGGGACAGATAAACGAAAACGATTGATGTAACGGCGGGAATGGAAGTCTTCCTCTTCCCCTCTAGCCTGACAGGTATCTTTGGGTCAGCTCGACATGTCGATGGTCTCTCAGATCAAGCATTCCTTGACAAATTCAGACTACCTCCCCCTGCTGTGGAGGCGAGGTGCCAGACGATCTGTACTCGTATCTCCCGGCCTGATCTGCATGTGCCTTGCTTTAGCGCTGCGTCTATCGGCACCTGGGTGCTTCAGGTTCTTAGAGACCTCCGTGGTGAGCATGAGGCGCCAAAGCGTGACGCTCCTGTACCGAGCGCAGAGCCCTCAGCGGAAAACCCGCCAGAGGCCCCCAAGATCATATGTTGTGAATGCAGCCAGTTGTTTGCATCGCTGCATAATCTTAAGACACATGAAAGCAAAGCACACAAGAAAACTCATGTCCGATTGACCGTTCCACCGCAAGAGCATGGCCTAAATGGTCTCCCAACCTGTCGGCACTGCGGCGTCGATTTCTCTAAGTGGGATGCACTCAAACGGCGAAGCGTCGAGTCGTGGTGTCACAAACGCTGCTGCGAAAGCAGCGAGCACCGTGAAATGCATCGCACCGATAAAACGCCAGAGTGAAATGATTCTGCACTTCAGACTGGGGGGGTGGATGGCGCTAGTCCCTCACGCTGCGCTCTGCACTGAACTGCTGCAGCGGTGTGCGGTTTGCTACCAATGGTTCGTTGACCCCAGAACGTGGTAGTGAATCTATACCTCAAGCTTGGCGTACCAGTTCTGGAGCCGAAGGTGATATTGCGGTTATCGCAGGATCTCCTGAGAGTAGCAAGAACTCTTCTGTCAAAGCATGGTCGTGCAAAGAATCTATGCCGGGATCCGGCAAAAGGAGATTTCATGAGGCCGATTCTGTGGTCTCACGTACTCCGGCCAAGAAAAGAGACAAGAGTGAGCAAATCGCTTGGCTTCCTGAGTTTCTGTGCGGCTTCTGTCGAGCCTGTTGCCAAGTCCAAGGGCAAAGCAACATGATCTTCTGCAAAAATGCCAGGCAAATGTGAGAAGTCTCGTGTTGCTGATACAGGTCCCTCGTTGAAACGAGGCAGTAGAAAAGAGAAACTTGTTTGGACTTGTAAGATATGTGAAATCCGCCGAAAAGACTTAGACAATGAAAAAAATGTCTTTACGTGGTAGTAGGCATATGTCCGGGCGTTGGGTCGCAAAGTTGACGGGGCCCTTTTTCCCGGCGTTGGGTTGTGGAAATTTCTGTGGTCGAACCACGTAAAGCACTGGCTGAGTTGGCAAGGTGTTGGTTGGCCTTCGACGACTCAAAAATGGCGGCGCCGCAGAAAAACCCTTGTGGTCCGCCTGTGCTCTGTGGTTGACGGGTGTTCGTTCTGTCCGGAACATGTTGCCCGGGAAGGTTTGATGGCCATTTACATGGACGACCGTACCATGACGTCGTCTGCTGACAACATGGCTCGGAAGCATCAAGCTTGGAAGGATTGGTCTGCTGAAACTGGTTTGGTGGAGTCCGACAACAAGGCTCAGTTCTCGGCCAGTTCTGTTGTCAAGATGCGTGAGCTTGTGCGTTATTGTCCGGCCGATAGATGCCACAGTGATGTTGTTTCCTTGGTGTTGCTTCGCGTGGTAAACGCAGGGGTAACCATGCCAAGGAACATAAATCGGTTGATGACGGCTAGAGAGCGCATGGCCATCTTGGGCACCATTCAGAGAAAAATGCTAGCGTGATGGGTATTACATAGGGCATTCTATGAGGGTGTTTTTGTTAAAGGTGGTTTTTGTTACCGAAACAGAGAGAAAAGGATACCTTAATTTTTGTGAAAAATCATATAGGGAATCCATTCAGAGAAATATACTAGTATGATAGATATTACATAGGGCATTCTATGAGGGTGTTTTTTTAAGGTGGTTTTTGTTACCGGAACAGAAAGAAAAGGACGCCTTAATTTCTCTGAAAATTCATATAGGGAATCCATTCAGAGAAATATACTAGTATGATAGATATTACATAGGGCATTATATGAGGATGTCTTTTCAAGGTGGTTTTTGTTACCAGATTTTTTGTGAAGAGTTGTATAGGGAATCCATTCAGAGAAATATTCTAGTATGATAGGTATTACATAGGGCATTCTATGAGGGTGTCCCTTTAAGGTGGTTGTTGTTATCGAAACAGAAACAAAAGGACGCCCTAATTTCTCTGAAAAATCATATAGGGAATCCATTCAGAGAAAAACACTAGCATGATAGGTATTGCATAGGGCATTCCATGAGGGTGTCTTTTTAAGGTGGTTTTTGTTACCGAAACAGAAAGAAAAGGATGCCTTAATTTCTCTGAAAATTCATATAGGGAATCCATTCAGAGAAATATACTAGTATGATAGATATTACATAGGGCATTATGTGAGGGTGTCCTTTTAAGGTGGTTTTTGTTACCGAAACAGAAAGAAAAGGACACCTTGTTTGTAATAAAGAAACTGTGGCTTTGATGGCATCATTCTCTCATCTGGGGCTCCTGCGGGCACGCAAGGCCTCGCGGTACAGGGGCTCCGCCTCCCCAAATCGCCCCGTGGATTGCAGCAGCGACGCGAGATTGTTGATGCTGGAGAGCGTGTTAGGGTGCTCATCACCCAGCTTGGCACGGCCTCAGCTGCAGCTCAAGACGTCGCATCTTGTGTCGCAGGCTGCCATGTAAGACAAATTGGGTGTGGAGACTTGCTATGTTAGGGCTAAACTCACTAGGCGGGCTTGTGCCTGCAAAGTCTACATAATGCAGGACTGGGAGTGCACAAACTTGGGCCCGCTGATGGCAGCGAGTAAGGAGTTGAATGCTTCAACTGTGCTGGGGTGCTGGGCCGGGGCTGCGTGCTTACAGCTGTCATCTCAGGCAGGGGATGTAGGTGACATTCTGAACAATTATCAACAGCACAGTCTCTCAAGACCTCTACTCTTGAACAGCACCTTTGGCCTAACCCAGGCCAGTGCAACCTCAACCTCGCTAGGTCTTGTGGAGAGGAGACGTTATAGGAGCTGATGAGACCTGACTGAATTACGTCAGCCCTATCGCCCCACCATCTTTAAACACGTGCATCTCTGTCTAAGCCACCAAGCCAACGCAACACAGAATCACAGGTGAAACCTTGTAGAAAAAAAACGGAGCTCTGATGGCAACAGTGTCACCTCTGGGGCTCCTGCAGCCACGCAAGGCCTCGCGGTACAGGGGCTCCGCCTCCCCAAGCCGCCCCGTGGCCCTGAGCAGCGACGCGAGATTGTTGATGCTGGCCAGCGTGTCAGGGTGCTCATCACCCAGCTTGGCACGGCCTCAGCTGCAGCTCAAGACGTGGCATCTTTTGTCGCAGGCTGTCATGTAAGACAAATTGGGCGTGGAGATTTGCTATGTGTTAGGGCTAGACTAACTAGGCGGCCTTGTGCCTGCAAAGTCTACATAATGCAGGACTGGGGAAATGTACAAAACTTGGGCCCGCTTAGGGCACAGGTGAATGCTTCAGCTGTGCTGGGGTGCTGGGCCAGGGCTGCATGCTTGCAGCTGTCATCTCAGGCAGGAATACTTTCAAATCAATACTTTTGTTTTATGCCATTCTGGGCGTCTGGAAGGTCCCAGCCTCCAAGAGCTTCCCAACCCCTATAAAATACACCCCCAGAGGTCACCTATCCGCCGACTCCCCTGCGGGGCGGCGCCTGTGAAGCTGTGCCCATATCTTGCGCCTTCTTGCGTAGGCTTTAGCGGGGATGCATAGGTGTATAGGTATTTGCTGATACCCGCCACCGAGCACACCGTGCCCATCGAGCTCACCGCTTTCACCGCCGCGCTGTCTAGCATTGTTTTCTAGCAGGGATGCGTAGGTCTATTGGTATTTTATGCGAGCCCACCGAACTCACCGCCCGCCGCCCGTGTCTCCTGCGCCCTCTAGCACGGCTTTTAGCAGGGACTCAGACTTGAATGCGAGCTCGAGGGGTCTTAAAGCCTCACACCTCCTCGAGCCTGTCGAGCTCACCGCTCCCCGTCACCTCACTGAGCTCACCAAGCCCATCGAGTTCACTGCTTGCTGCTTTCACTCTCGTGCCCATAACAGGGATGCATAGGTGTACAGGTATATTTACCGAGCTCACCGAATTCATTGAACTCACCGCCCACCGCCCGCTAGCGCGAGCCCAAGGAGGCCCCGACCCCCCACCGAGGGTGGAGATTGTTTTTTGGCCATTTTATTGTTTTCGTTTTTGTCTTTTTTGTTGTATTATTACAGCTACTGCTAAGTTATGGCTGAGTCATTGTTATGATTCGTACTGTTATACTTTATTCTTACTCTTGTCACGATGCTCACGATAATTCTGAGTATTACTATTATTACGATTACTATGATTACTATGGTCGCTAGTGTTTCTATTGTTATTTTGATTGCAAAAAATTGCGGTTATCATAATTAAGTGAAGTGAGTGAGGAGTGAGTGAATGAGTGAGTGAATTACGACTCCCGCCTTGAGCGGGGCCTTGCCTCAGGCGCCATCCCTCCCGGCTTCTCAGGGGGCTCCGAAAGCGTCGCCCCCTCCACTGGCAAAGCGCCCCTGGAATCAATGTCCAAAGGCCAGCACAGGCCCGGTCTGGCAAGAGGTCAAGCCTGCCATCGTGTAGGGCAACAACTAGGCAAGCCCGCCACCTGCGCCGCCAGAAGCGGCAGGCAGGCATAGGGGCAAAACAGCGTGCCATCCTCGCGGAAGCCCCGCACGAAAAGCTTTTCCCAAAGAGGTCGCCCCTCCAAAGTACTCGGCGAAGCACACAACGTCCCTCTTCGACAAGCTACGCGTAGCACGCTTCCCCACAGATCCCTCTGCAGGTACTAGGTGCAGCCTAGCCCCTGCGCATCCGGATACACTCACATAAGTCACATCCCATAAAGGGGAAATGGCAAACTTATGCCACCCCCCTGCAAAGGGTCTCACATTAGTATGCCCTTGGAGTGGCGGAGTGAAGCCCAAAACTCTGGGCAACACTCCCGGACGAGGGGGGGTTATCATTATTAAGATCATTATTGCTATTACTACTGTTATCAATGCTACTATTACTATTGCTACTATTATTATGATGATTACTAGTGTTCTTATCAATATTCGTATTACTAACAACACTATAACGATGCTGATCATCATAACAATACTAGTAATAGTCGTAATAATTGTCATTCAGTATAAATCGTAATAGTAGCAATAATCAAAAACAGCAGTACTAATAGTAAGCATAGTAAAGCTAGTAATTGTGGTTATATTTGAAATTTCATAATGATAGCAATAATTGCATTAGTAGCAATAATAATAATCATTGTACTGTCATTAAACCTACATGCATCCTGTATCTATTTCCATTGTGTGTACGGTTCGTCCTCACCTTCTGTCATTGAGTGTAGGTGTATGTTCAATTTTGTTTCTTTCGTATGTACACTCGAAGAAGCTGCAAATAAAGCATATGAGAATATGTGTATGTATACAAAACATAGCTATGATTGGCGTATATTTCTGTAGTACATATACAACGCGTATCGAGTATGGCTTGGCTTGGTTTGGCTGGAGCGGGGCTGCAGGGTTGGGGGGGAGGGGGCGGCTAGCCCCGTCCCCCCCATGCACACCTGTCAGTCAGTCTATATTAGTCTGTATACATCCTATATCTACCTCCGTTGTATAAACCCCGTTCGTCCTCGCCTTCTGTCATTGAGTGTATATGTATGTTTACTTTTGTTTCGTTCGTATGTATACTTCAGAATTCAAATGAATACATATGAATATATACATATATATATACGGGCGCCCCCCCCCCTCCCCCACAGGGACCTTCAACATCAAAAAGTTTGACACCAATTGGCTTTATCACTTAAACTTGTCTTGCGATGATTATAACTATTACTATTATTACTATTATTATTACTATTATTATAAGTATTACGATTATTACTAATATTATTATTACATCAGTGTTATTATTATTACTTCTGCTAATGCTACTACTACTACTACTACTACTACTCCTATATTACAAATATCATGATCATTAGTAATATTACTATTGATATTGATAAACGGAATTACTATTATTATTACTATTATTCTTATTATTATTACTACTGTTACTACTACCATTATCACTACTGTTATTGTTCCTATTATTGTTACTATCATTACTACTATTATTATTACTATTACTATCACTATAATTTTAGTTGCTATTGTTATTACTATTATAATTAATATTACTATTACTATCACTGATTAACTATGATTTCTATTACGATTATTCCTATGATTATTACTATTTTTCCTTTTATGATTCCTATTATACTATTATTATCATTACTACTATTATTCCTATTGCTACTACGATTGTTATTACAACTATTGCTATCATTATTATCACAATTATTATTGTTACTATTACTACTACTAAATAACAATAGTAATGACAATAATAACAACAATAATAATAATCGTGATAGTAATCGTAATAGTAGTCATGATGGTAATAATTATCGTAACAATAATCGTCGTGATAATAGTAATAGTAATAGTAGTAACAGTAGTAGTAATAGTAGCAATAATAGTAATTATAAAAGTAGTAGTAATCATAGTAGTAGTAAAAGATAATAATCATAATATGATGACTATTATTAGCAATTGTAAATATATTTAAATTTCAGGCATATCCTATTTGAAAGCTGATCTTTTGAAAGAGTATATGAAGAATAACACGTGGCTGACTATTTGTAGCTGAATCAGCGTTACTATTGCTACTATGATTACGAGTGTTATTTTTAGTATTGTTCTGATTATTATTACTACTATTACTACTACTATTATCATTATTGCTGTTTTCACTACTACCATTATCACTTAGACTTGTGTTGCGATGATTATAACTATTATTATTACTACTAGTATTGTTACTATTATTATTTGTATTACGATTATTACTAATATTATTATTGTGTGATAGTAATCGTAATAGTAGTAGAAATGGTAATAACTATAGCAATAATAAGCGTGATAATAGTAGTAGTAATAGTAGTAATAATAACAACAGTAATAATCATAGTAATAATGATAGTAGTAACAGTAGTAGTAATACTAGTAATAATAGTAATAACAATAATAGTAGTAGTAATGATAGTTGTAGTAGTAGTAGTAGTAGTAGTAGTAGTAGTAGTAGTAGTAGTAGTAGTAGTAGTAGTAGTAGTAGTAGTAGTAGTAGTAGTAGTAGTAGTAGTAGTAGTAGTAGTAAAGGTAATAATATTAATGATAATTAAAGGACCGGATAACCCCACATGTCTATTTCTTTCTTGATACATTCAATTGTGACGTCTGTCACCAGTGAATGTTGTAGTAATGTAGTACGATCGTGCTCAAGTGGGTGTGTCTGTACGCGTGAATGGAGTGAGTGAGAGTGAGTGTGAGTGAGTGAGTGAGCGAGCGAGCGAGTGAGCGGGTGAGTGAGCGAGTGAGCGAGGGAGTGAGCGAGGGAGTGAGGGAGTGAGCGAGGGGGCGAGTGAGATAGTGAGTGAGTGAGTGAATAAGTGAGTACCGCCAGAGCCCTTTAGAGCACGCCCCTGCCACGGTTTGAGAGCCCTCGAGAGCGAAAGTGACGACCCTCCCACGAAAACGCCGGGGGTCCAAAACCGCGCGCCGCTACCGCCAGGGCCCTCTAGAGTACGCCCCTGTCACGGTTTGAGAGCCCTCGAGAGCGAAAGTGACGACCCTCCCACGAAAACGCCGGGGGTCCAAAAGCGCGCGCAACTACCACCAGAGCCCTGCAGAGTACGCCCCTGCCACGGTTTGAGAACCCTCGAGAGCGAAAGTGACGACCCTCCCAGGAAAACGCCGGGCGTCCAAAAGCGCGCGCCGCTACCGCCAGAGCCCTCTAGTCTTCTAGAGTACGCCCCTGCCCGGTTTGAGAACCCTCGAGAGCGAAAGTGACGACCCTCCCACGAAAATGCCGGGGGTCCAAAAGCCCGCGCCGCTACCGCCAGAGCCCTCTAGTCCTCTAGAGTACGCCCCTGCCAGGGTTTGAGTGTTTGAGAGCCCTCCAGAGCCAAAGTGACGACCCTCCCACGAAAACGCCTCGGGTCCAAAAGTGCGCGCCGCTACCGCCAGAGCCTTTCTTTATTTCTTTCTTTCTTTCTTTGATTCTTTCTTTCGTTATTTCTTTCTTTCTTTCGTTTTTACTTTCTTTCTTTCTTTTTTTTGCTCTTTCTTTCTTTCGTTCTTTCTTTATCTGTCCATGAAAATACGCAGGAAATCCGCCGACCGGTGCTCATGAAGCGTTTCCGGGAAGAGTCGGCGGCTCTGCCACCCCGTAAGCATAGCTTAAGGCTAGGCGCGCATCCGCGCTGGACCATGGCGGCACCGCCGCGTCTTCAGGCCCTACTTCTAATAATACTGCCGCCACTGCTACATTACTACGCCGACTTCTTCAAGCGCTACTTCTACTAGTGCCACTACTGATACTGTTCCTTGTGCTCTCGCTATTGCTACTGCAATATCTATTGTTGTATCTTCTGTGCGTTCGTAGCATGACCATAACAAAGCACACTACTGCTACGGCTGCTAGTTCACGACACACGCCTCGGCCTCCAAACGAGCATCATAAGCACTTGAGGTCCAATCGTAGCATAAGCACTTGCGGGAGAGGGGTGGGGGGGTGCTTGTAGCGATTGTAGAAGTGGTGGTAGTCGTCGTGCATCGTTTCAATACCCCAACCCCCGCTTCTACATGCGCTGCCCGCACCTGGCGAAGCCCTTAAATCGGGCAACTCTGTCAATACGCCAGTCGGGCCGCAGCCCTAGCTTTGCTATGAGGGAGAACGCCAGTGTCGCCGACCTTCCCCGGGAAGGTTTCTGAAGCTGACATTTGTGAAGGCCTTGTTCAACATGTTTCTTTTGGAGGCAGAAACGTGCAGTTCTGCATGGTATTCAGGGATCGGAACGCGTTTTTCGGCGCCAAAAAGCAACCCGCATGGCGAGCATCATCGACCCTTCGTTTCTCACGGCCCGCGCGCTTGAATTGTCAAGGTTTTGTTTAGGCATCCCAGCCCCATCACGGACAGCATCATGAGCAGCAGTGGGGTGTGCCGGACGAGGCTTGGCCTGTTTGTAACCTCAAAAACATGCAAAACCATCGCAAATAGCAAGGTTTTTTCAGGTGTTCCAAGTTTCGTTTGCTGCAGCACGTTTCCAGCACAAAGATGAGCATCATGAGCACTCGTTTCCAAGGAGGTGCAGCAATTGGCATGGCACTCTGGATGAAGCACAATTAGCCTCGAGAAGCATGCCTGCCTGCTGACCCCTCTCTTGCCTGCCGCTTGCAGCCCCTTACAATACACCCCCAGAGGTCAGCAGAGGATAGCAGAGGTGCAATTCAACACACGCTGGGCAAACTAGGCAAACTAGGCAGGAAAACTGGCCTGTCATTTCATAAACCCTCCGACTCCCACACCCCCTTGGACCCTCAGCCCCCAAGAGCTTCCCAACACTTAGAAAATACACCCCCAGTGGTCAGCAAAGGATTAGCAGAGGTGCAATGCAGCACGCGCTGGGCGAACTAGGCAAACTAGGCAGGTAAAATTGAAGAAATATGGCAGGGACCAGGTATAGAATGCCAAGCAGAGGTGATAGAGTCATGTGAAGCCCGGACGGTCATTTCATGAATCTTCCGAATCCCGCACCCAAGCCTCAGCCCCTAAGAACTCCCCAACACCTGTAAAATGCATCCCCGGAAGAAGGCAGAGGATTAGGTGCAATGCAGCACACGCTGGGCAAACTAGGCAGGAAAATTGGCAGGTATAGAATGGCAAGCGAAGGTAGGAGATTCATATGAAGCCTGGACGGTCATGTCATAAACCTTCCGAATTCCACATCCCCCTTAAACCCTCAGCCACCAAGAGCTTCCCAACAGCTGATGTAGGTGACATTCATTCTGAACAAGATTCAACTGCTCAGACGCATGAATACCTTCTTGAACAGCGCCTTCGACCTAGGAGTTGATGCGACCTGACTCAGTTACTTCAACCCTCTCGCCCCACCATCTTCAAGCATGTGCATCTCTGTCTAAGCCAACCCCACAAAGAATCACAGGCGAAACCCTGAGAAAAAAAGAACCTCGCAGCTCTGATGGCAACATTCTCACCTCTGGGGCTCCTGCGGGCACGCAAGGCCTCGCGGAACAGGGGCTCCGCCTCCCCAAATCGCCCCGTGGATTGCAGCAGCGACGCGAGATTGTGGATGCTGGAGAGCGTGTTAGGGTGCTCATCACCCAGCTTGGCACGGCCTCAGCTGCAGCTCAAGACGTCGCATCTTGTGTCGCAGGCTGCCATGTAAGACAAATTGGGTGTGGAGACTTGCTATGTGTTAGGGCTAGACTAACTAGGCAGGCTTGTTTGTGCCTGCAAAGTCTACATGATGCAGGACTGGGGAATGCACAAACTTGGGCTGATGGCAGCGAGTGAGGAGTTGAATGCGGCGACTGTGCTGGGGTGCTGGACCGGCGCTACAAGCTTACAGCTGTCATTTCAGGCAGGAGGACTTTCAAATCAATACTTTTCCCTGACTCAGTGACTTCGACCCTATCGCCCCACCGTCTTCAAGCATGTGCATCCCTGTCGAAGCCACCAAACCAACCCAACACAGAACAGCTCTGATGGCAACAGTCTCACCTCTGGGGCTCCTGCGGCCGCGCAAGGCCTCGCGGAACAGTGGCTCCGCCTCCCCAAACCGCCCCGTGGCCTTGAGCAGCAACGCGAGATTGTTGATGCTGATGAGCGTGTCAGGGTGCTCATCGCCCAGCTTGGCACGGCCTCAGCTGCAGCTCAAGACGTCGCATCTTATGTCGCAGGCTGCCATGTAGAACAACTTGGGTGTGGAGATTGTCTATGTGTTAGGGCTCATAGACTAACTAGGCAGGCTTGTTTGTGCCCGCAAAGTCTACATGATGCAGGACTGGGGAATGCACAAACTTGGGCTGATGGCAGCGAGTGAGGAGTTGAATGCGGCGACTGTGCTGGGGTGCTGGGCCAGGGCTGCGTGCTTGCAGCTGCCATCTCAGGCAGGAAGACTTTCCATTGAATACTTGTGTGTTGTGCCATTCTGGACATCTGGAGGGTCCCAAGCTGATGTAGGTGACACCCTGAAAAAAAATCAACTGCACAGACGCTGGAACCACGCATGAAGACCTCTCTACTCTTGAACAGCACCTTTGACCTAGCCCCAGGCCAGCGCAACCTCAACCTCGCTAGGTCTTGCGGAAAGGATACGTTATAGGAGTTGATGCGACCTGACTGAATTACTTCAACCTCTCGCCCCACCATCTTTGAGCATCATCTCTGTCTAAGCCAACCCCACAAAGAATCACAGGCGAAACCCTGAGAAAAAAAGAACCTCACAGCTCTGATGGCAACAGTCTCACCTCTGGGGCTCCTGCGGGCAAACAAGGCCTCGCGGAACAGTGGCTCCGCCTCCCCAAATCGCCCCGTGGATTGCAGCAGCGCCGCGAGATTGTTGATGCTGGAGAGCGTGTCAGGGTGCTCATCACCCAGCTTGGCACGGCCTCAGCTGCAGCTCAAGACGTGGCATCTTTTGTCGCAGGCTGCCATGTAACACACACTTGGGTGTGGAGACTTGCTATGTGTTAGGGCTAGACTAACTAGGCAGGCTTGTTTGTGCCTGCAAAGTCGACATTATGGAAATGCACAAACCTGGGCCCGCTGATGGTAGCGTATGATGAGTTGAATGCGGCAACTGTGCTGGGGTGCTGGACCGGCGCTACAAGCTTACAGCTGTCATTTCAGGCAGGAGGACTTTCAAATCAATACTTTTCCCTGACTCAATTACTTCGACCCTATCGCCCCACCGTCTTCAAGCATGTGCATCTCTGTCGAAGCCACCAAACCAACCCAACACAGAATCACAGGCGAAACCCTGAGAAAAAAAGAACCTCGCAGCTCTGATGGCAACAGTCTCACCTCTGGGGCTCCTGCTGGCACGCAAGGCCTCGCGGAACAGTGGCTCCGCCTCCCCAAACCGCCCCGTGGATTGCAGCAGCAACGCGAGATTGTTGATGCTGGCAAGCGTGCGTGGGTGCTCATGACCCAGCTTGGCACGGCCTCAGCTGCAGCTCAAGCGTCGCATCTGCCATGTAACACAATTTGGGTGTGGAGACTTGCTATGTGTTAGGGCTAAACTACTAACTAGGCCAGCTTGTGCCGGCAAAGTTTACATTGTGCAGGACTACGGAAACGCACAAACTTGGGCCAGCTGATGGTAGCGATTGAGGAGTTGAATGCGGCGACTGTGCGGGGGTGCTGGGCCAGGGCTGCATGCTTGCAGCTGCCATCTCAGGCAGGAAGACTTTCAAATGGATACTTATGTTTTCTGCCATTCTGGACACCCAAGCTGATGTAGGTGACATCCTCAACAAAAATTCCACTGCACAAACGCTGGAACCGCGCATGAAGACCTCTACTCTTGAACAGCACCTTTGACTTAACCCAGGCCAGTGCAACCTCAACCTCGCCAGGTCGTACGGAAATTGTCTTTTTTTCTAGGAGCTGACGCGACCTGCCTTGATTACTCCAACCCTATCCCCCCACCGTCTTCAAACATGTGCATCTCTGTCGAACCCACCAAACCAAAACAACACAGAATCACAGGCGAAACCCTGTAAAAAAAGAACCTCACAGCTCTGATGGCAACAGTCTCACCTCTGGGGCTCCTGCGGCCACGCAAGGCCTCGCGGAACAGTGGCTCCGCCTCCCCAAACCGCCCCGTGGCCTCAAGCAGCAACGCGAGATTGTTGATGCTGATGAGCGTGTCAGGGTGCTCATCGCCCAGCTTGGCACGGCCTCAGCTGCAGCTCAAGACGTCGCATCTTATGTCGCAGGCTGCCATGTAGAACAACTTGGGTGTGGAGATTGTCTATGTGTTAGGGCTCATAGACTAACTAGGCAGGCTTGTTTGTGCCTGCAAAGTCTACATGATGCAGGACTGGGGAATGCACAAACTTGGGCTGATGGCAGCGAGTGAGGAGTTGAATGCGGCGACTGTGCTGGGGTGCTGGGCCAGGGCTGCGTGCTTGCAGCTGCCATCTCAGGCAGGAAGACTTTCAAATGAATGCTTGTGTTTTGTTGCCATTCTGGACATCTGGAGGGTCCCAAGCTGATGTAGGCGACATCCTCAACAAAATTTCCACTGCACAAACGCTGGAACCACCTATGAAGACCTCTCTACTCTTGAACAGCACCTTTGACCTAACCCAGGCCAACGCAACCTCAATCTGGCTAGGTCTTGTGGAGAGGAGACGTTATAGGAGCTGATGCGACCTGATTAGATTACGTCAACCTATGGCCCCACCGTTTTCAAACACATGCATCTCTGTCTAAGCCACCAAACAAACCCAAGGCGAAACCCTGTAAAAAAACAAAAGCACCGGAGCTCTGATGGCAACAGTATCACCGCTGAGCCTCCTGCTGCCACGCAAGGCCTCACGGTACAGTGACTCCGCCTCCCCAAACCGCCCCGTGGCCTCAAGCAGCGACGCAAGATTGTTGATGCCGGCGAGCGTGCCTGGGTGCTCATCACCCAGCTTGGCACGGCCTCAGCTGCAGCTCAAGACGTCGCATCTTTTGTCGCAGGCTGCCATGTAAGACACTTTGGGTGTGGAGGTTTGCTATGTGCCAGGGCTAAAGTGCCTGCAAACTCTACATTGTGCTGGTCTGGGGAAATGCTCATAAGACTACGACTCCTCTGTACATGTGCAATGTGTTGTGCGGAGCATAAATAGTTGATGTATCTAGGCCATAGGGTTTTAAAGTCCGTGGAGACACTTAAATATCCTGTGAACCCAAACTCTCGCTGAAACTCCAAGGAGCTTGCTTTAGTGACTAGGCTTGGAATGCTTGGAATCCAATAAAACAATTATTTGCGAAAAATTAATAATTTTGCTTGTGATCTTTTTGTGAGAATTTTGTAAACAAAATGTGAAACATTTGCGAGAAAATTGTGAGAAAATTGTAAAAAACTAACGAGAAATTAGTGAGCAGGCTGGGCCCAGCCCAGGAAATTAGTGAGAAATTAGTGAGCGGGCTGGCCCAGCCCAGGAAATTAGTGAGAAATTAGTGAGCGGGCTGGCCCAGCCCAGGAAATTAGTGAGATATTAGCGAGAAATTAGTGAGCAGGCCAGGAAATTAGTAAGAAATTAACGAGAAATAAGTGAGCGGGCTGGCTCAGCCCAGGAAATTAGTGAGAAATCAACGAAACATTGGTGAGCGGGCTGGAAATTAGTTAGAAACTAGGGAGAAATGCAGCCCAGGAAATTAGTGAGAAAGTAGTGGGCGGGCTGGCCCAGCCCAGGAAATTCGTGAGATATTAGCGAGAAATTAGTGAGAAAACGAGAAATTAGTGAGCGGGCTGGGTCCAACCCACGAAATTAGTGAGAAATTAGCGAGAAATTAATGAGCGGGCTGGCCCAGCCCAGGAAATTCGCGAGAAATTAGTGAGCCCAGCGCAGGAAACGCGCAGGATTCTCACTAAATTCTCATCAAATTCTCACTAAATTCTGATTCAATTCTCACTAAATTTCCACAAATTAGTCACTATAAAATCACAAAGCCGCGCGCTAAAAGTTCACTAATTCCCAGCCAGATCACAAACCCGCTCACAAAAAATCACAGGATAATCACAAACTAATTCCCTGGAGTGCCTCCCAAACATTCCAAGGCACGCAACTCACATTCCTACTATTATTACTGCAACACGACTACGACCACTACTGCCACTAAACAAAACGCCAAACAGAGCAAGCACCACCTCGCACCCGGGGCGGGGGGGGGGGGGCCCTTTGGGCGTAGCCCTGAGATGGGGGGTGCTTTACAGCTCTCATGAGTGCAGCTGTCGAGCCTCGGTGCTACTCTGTGGCTTTCAAACTGCTGGCTCTCCATAGGCAAGCTTTAGGCAAGTCTTTAAAGTGTGTCTTGCTGAGCCTCGGGCGTCCCGCCAAGCACTCCCTCATGAGCGTCTCAGCTTCCTGGTGCACAGCGCGACCCTGCATCCTGCGACCCAGTTCCGACATGCACTCCATCGTGGCGGCATCTCTGTCCCCTTTGCTCTTGCGGAGGAGGGCCAAGCGCAGCTTCAGCAGCTGCAACACGCCGTCGGCTTCAGCGGAGGCGTTCTGCACCTCGCCTGAAGTGCTCACCACGCAGAGAAGAAACACGTCACGTCCGCGATGCACTGCACGACCTTGGTAGTCTTCTCCCAAGCGGACGTGGCGTTGCACTCCTTTGTCCTGCACCAACTTCCGGGCCATGTCTGGCCTCGCAGTCACAATCTTTCACAACATCACCCCCCTTTGCTGGGAACCATATCGACGTGTCAATCGCAAGTCTCATTACACATTTGCCATGACGAATTAAGTAATTAGATGTGACTAGTAGTAATACTCCCCCTTTGCCTATCAGCAAACTCCCGGCTAAGGTCAAACCCCATTCTCCTTGCAAGGAGTTGCCCGCAACCATAACTAGGCATGCTGCGCAAAACTTCTATCGCCTAGGAGCTAAGCTCTTGCAATCTCTGAGCCCGGGTGCGTGTGGCGTGTGAAGATGTTGTAGGCCATTGCTTTCGGCGCCAGGATCGGGATGCAAAACGCCGCCCGGTGGCCCCATGGATTGCCATCGCCCCATTCTCGCACGACGCGCTCCGACTCAGGATCGCTGGCAGCGCCTGAGCTGCAAAGAAGCACATAACGCCACAAAGCCGCACAACTTCCCGAGGCCGTCGCACATCGGGCTGCCGTTGCTGTAATTGTTCAGCAGAATACGGAAGCGCCAGCCCCATACCTCGGCCATCGTCTTCAAGCGTGCAGTCAGTACGTTCCACCAACCCAACCGCAATTGCAATTGCCAGCATCTGCAACGACCCCACTGAATGACCGATTTTTATGACTGCCCTGCAAGCAAGCTTACGTTGTTGTTCTTGTTGTTGCTGTTGCTGTTGCTGTTGCTGTTGTTGTTGTTGTTGTTGTTGTTGTTGTTGTTGTTGTTGTTGTTGTTGTTGTTGTTGTTGTTGTTGTTGTTGTTGTTGTTGTTGTTGTTGTTGTTGTTGTTGTTGTTGTTGTTGTTGTTGTTGTTGTTGTTGTTGGTTGTTGTTGTTGTTGTTGTTGTTGTTGTTGTTGTTGTTGTTGCTGTTGTTGTTGTTGTTGTTGTTGTTGTTGTTGTTGTTCTTGTTGTTGTTGTTGGTGGTGTTGTTGTTGTTGTTGTTGGTGGTGGTGTTATTGTTCTTGTTGTTCTTGTTGTTGCTGTTGTTGTTGTTGTTGTTGTTGTTGTTGTGGTGTAAGATTCTGGCCCAAGATGAGGATTTTATTTCTCGTAGCCGTAGCGAGCTTTCTTGGGTGCCTGGGTCCCAAGTCCCAGGGTCCAGCCATGGATCAGAATCGAGGGTTTCGGGAAGTAGCGCCCCCCGATGAAGCTGAGCAGCATGCGCAGCGAAGTCAGCTAACCATGAACAAAACCGGCAAGCGAAGCTACCAAAGAGCTTGTAAAGTTGCCCTGGCGAAGGGAGCAGCACTTTACAAAGGCCGTCTTCTGACAGCTCAGGCTCTAGGAGCTCATGAAGGACAATTCGCGTCTCCTGCGAAAGCGGAGAGGCGTTCTTTTCAACCGAACAGACAGATCCATCACAAATTTGATATGGAAGTCCTTACTTGGAACGCAGGCTCAATTACAAGTCGAGTTTGGAACGAGATTCTGGCCCTTTTGGCAACAACAGAGTACAAGAACATCAAAATCGTTTTCCTGCAGGAATCGCATTGGCAGCAGGACCAGGTCTACAGCTCAGGCCCGTGGTCAGTCCTAACCTGTGGCTCAACAAGCAGACACAAGGCTGGCCTGGTTGTCTTGGTGCATAGCTCACTGGCTCCTCTTTCAGAAATTCGCAGCACTTCCATTGTTCCAGGGCATTTGCAGCACGTCATGATCCCGTGGCAGAGATCCAGAATACATCTCCTGAACCTGTACCAGCACGTCTGGGATTCAAAGCTCTCGAAGACGGAAAACAGAGGCAGGAGAAAGGACGTGGTGACACAGCTCGAAAATCGAACACAGAGAGTCCCACAACGTGATTTCTTGATTGTGGCTGGGGATTTCAATGCGCATGCGGTGACTGAACGTCCTCATATCGGACCAAGTGTGCCTCATCGAGTACGGTTTGCAAATGCGGATGTGAAGACACTGCCCTCGCTCTGCAAATCCTGTGGACTCACTGCGCTGAACACATGGGCTTCTGGCCATCGCAGTACGGATACTAACAGTGATGGCACATATTCCTCTCAGATCGATTTTATGCTGGTCAGACTGCACGATGCTCGGAGGAGATCCAAGGAGGCCTACTCGGATAAGAACTTTCCTGTGGCTGCCTACAGAGATGGATCAAAACACTTTCCAGTGCGAGCTACTCTGTTCATTCCTCCTTACAGTCCTACACCCAGCAAGCCACGGCCGTTTGATGCCACAGCCCTGGATGCGAGCTTTCGGCGGAAAGATGACAACTGGCATGCATACTCACATCGTCTGACGGAATCAGTGGTGAGGACAATGCAAGAGAGACCGTCTTGGCAAGAACTGGATGAAGTGATGGTTCGTGTATCAGCTGAGCACTATCCTCCTCCACGCAAGTCTCAGCCAGCAGCAGGTCCAATTCATCAGGAATATTGGAAGAAAGTGCGGCAAATCCAGGAGCACAAGAGGGCTGGAACCGAGCATAATCCAGACTGCCAGAAGCTTGTGGAGGACATCAAAGAGGAGGCGCGGGCTTTCAAAAAACAGCAAAAACAAAGAAAGCTAGAGAAGCAAGAGCAGTTGCTTCTACAAGCCCAGGAAGATAAAAGGCAACAATCCCACAAACTGGCTCATGCTCTCAGGAAACTTGCTCCGTGGCGCCCAGTGCAGAGAGTCAACCTAAGGGATCAAGCAGGTGAGCCGCTTGATACGGAGGCCTCGCTAAAAACTATGCGCGAATACTCGAGTCAAATCTTCTCCAAAAGTCCTCCTTTGCACTCAGTTGCTGCTGTGCCCAGAACAGCGATCACTGCCTTGCAGGTATCCTCGCAAATCAAGACAGTGCCAGTGGGGAAAGCAGTCCCCAGCACCTCAGCCCCAGTATCAGCTTGGAAGAGTCTAGGTCCTGACGCCCACGAACACATAGCAGGTCTAATCAACTCTGAGGTGTCCCAATCAGACATTTCCCCTTATCTAAAGGACCCTCGAATTGCATGGATCCCCAAGCCGGGCAAGCCAGCCACCGCCATGAAAAACCTGAGGCCCATAGGAGTCATCAGCGTGCCAGGCAAAGTGCTAGCAGGCGCAGTGAAGACTCGCATTGCACCAGCATTGCAGGTGAGCTCACAGCTTCAGCCTCAATTTGCGTACATTCGGCAGAGGGGGGTGCGGGACGCTATCGCGAAAGCATGTCAGCACCTTGATTTCGCGCAGCAGCTCCGTCAAGAGCATCGCAGGGACCTGCACAAGTCCCAACGCGGAGCTAGGCAGGCTCAGCTGTCAGGGGCACTCACTATTTCGGTTGATCTGAGCAAAGCTTTTGATTCTGTTAATAGACATGAGCTGCTAGCTGCCTTGGATCGCCTGGGAACAGACCCTGTTACGAAAGAACTGGTAGTTCAACTACACAGTGAGACCTCCTACAACATGGGCACAGGTGGACTAGAGATTCAAGTTCCCACTTCTTCAGGAATCAAACAAGGTTGTAAGCTAGCCCCGGCATTGTGGTCTGCGCTGACACTTCTAGTCATGAGCAGAATGGAGCAGAAATGGGGCCCAGATAGCAAGCAAGCTAGGGAAATCCTAACGGTATTTGCAGACGATTTCCTGCTCCAGGAAACCTTCTCGAGCTTTCCTGAACTTCAGAGGCTCTCTTTCAATCTCTTGAGGACGTGGGGCTGGAAGTCAATCCAGCGAAGTCCAAAGCCTTGCTAATGGTTCAGGGCACTCAGCAGTCCATCTTTCGCAAGAAGCACACGATGCGCAAAGAGAAGCAGTTGCACATCGTCCTTCCCTCAGGACATAAGATTCCGATTCATCACAAACTAACATATCTAGGGGTGCAGCTCAGCTATGGATCCTACAAAGACCAGACTGTTGACTATAGGATCGCCCAAGCTCAAGGCAAGTTTGAGCTACTTCGACACATCCTGTGCTCCACTAAGGCCTTGGAGGCTTCAAAGAAGTTGGAGATCTGGAGGGTCTATGTGGAATCCTCACTCTTGCATGGGCTTGTGGCCACTGGCGTCACCTCATCAGGTCTTCAGAAGCTTCAGAGTAAATACTCTAGGATGCTAAGATCCATCTTTAAGCAACACCAGCACTACAGCCATATTGACACGAAGACTCTGTTTGAGCAATACAAGGTTCAGTCTCCTCAAGCAGTTTTGATCAGCCAGATGAAAAACTATCAAGACGCACTAGATGCCTGTCAGAAGTCCAACCCGGATCAGAACATACAGTGGCATCTGGGACTTAGAGGTAGGATTGTTGCGCTGCAACTGGAGCTTCAGAGCATGCATTTAGACTTGACCGAGGCAGATCAGGCGGTACCGTGCTCTCTGTGCGATCGGAAATTCTCCAGCGCTAAGGGTCTTCAGCAACATACTCTGGTGAAGCATGGAGGACAGCGTGCGAATCAGCTAGGCCCAAAATTTCAGGTCACTGTGCATAGCTGCAAAGGACTTCCGCAATGTGCGGCATGCAACAGGCAGTTGCGCACAATGCATCAACTTCGCAGACATGTGGAGTCAGGCATTTGCCCTCAGCTGCACGAGCTGAAAGAACGAGCCAAATCCTGTACAAGCTCAGAAAGCATAGCAATGATCTATCAGTCTAGCGTGCAGGAACAACTTAAGAAGGATCCTGATCTTCTACTAAAAAAGAGACATGTCACTCAGCATCTATTAACGAACTGCAGTCTCTGTGGGCAATACATTGTTGGCCACAAAGGAGTGAAACAGCACATTCAGAAAGCTCATCCCGCTTTCTGGGCACAATCCTCGGCATCCATTCTTGCCAACATGCGAACACATAAGCGCCTCCTGCACAAAAAAGAAGAATGTAGGTATTGTCGCATTGTGGTAGATGCTCCAGTACGCCATGCAGAGCAATGTGTGGTTCTGCTTCAGACATACGCCATGAGTGCAGCTTGTGCCAAGCCTATGGAACTGCCAGATCTCTTCAGTGCAGATCCTCCAATTAGCCAGGTGAGAGGCAGGGAAGCTTCCTCCCAGGAGGCTTCCTCCAGCAGCCGAGCTTCTTTGCTGACATACACTGCACGCGTCTCGGGTCGCTCAACCACTGCACCTCCCACAGCTTCCATGCAAGACGCTGCCTGGCGTCTAGCTTATCATAATCCGCATCAACTGTGCTATGCACACACGGTCGTTCATATCCTTCTCTCTCTCTTGTCAGACGGACTGTTCCCAGATCCTTCCTTAAATTCCATCCTAACGGAAATAGGTTCCCTGAATGGCAGATCCTCTCATGCGGATGTTCGGAGGTTGCGACATCTTCGTCCGCTGCTAGCAGGATGGCGATTACGACCCAGGCAGGAGGATGCATCTCAATTTCTGTTGCATATCTCTCAGCGTATTCCAGATCTTTCATCAGATAAATGGGAGGCGCGAGTTCATATCTCAGCACCGGAGGAACGCATAAGTGTTGAGGAAAAAGGTGGCTTGATTCTGTATCTACCCGAGCCGCCGGATGGACTCTCGACTCTTCAGCAATCAGTAACACAATGGACGAACAGGGGTAGTGTGTTTGCCTTGCTTCCAGATACAAGACTCATTTGCTTACAAATTCAAAGATTTGATCAGCAAATCAAAACTTCCCGCCCACAAGCGCTGGACACAGTTCTTGAGATGCCAATGTTTCAAGATAACGGAACCTCAACAGAAGCAGTGTCCTTTAGCCTCTATGCATTCATTATTCATATCGGCGAAGACTGGAACTCTGGACATTACAGAGCGGGATTCTGGAGAGATGGAGTTGCGTACCTAGCTGATGATAGTGATCCGCCAAGATGCACCATGCTCCTCTCGGATCAAATATGTCGAGGATCGTACTTGGCCTTCTATGTAAGAGATTAGATTCAGCCAGGCAGCCATGAGGCAGGCCTTTGCCCAATTGTCAGCACCCGCCAAGTCCAAGCACGCATGCGGAGGTTTCCTCCGGAGGCATCCTCCGCAGCAGTGTTCTTCTTAAAGAAGACCTATCTGCCTGCTGTTGCTTAAGGCAACTCGGCATGAATGCTGCCCTGCGCGCAATAAAGCCATGATCTCGTGCTAAAAAGTACAGTCTCTTGCATGAACCTTCACATGCGGAGGTTTCCTCCGGAGGCTTCCTCCCCGGTAGTGTTTCTTACATTAGACCGATCTGCCTGCTGTAGCGTAAGGCCAAGCTTACCCATTTTTGTCCCTGAACCTGAAGCATCTGTAAGAGCCCTGTGCGCACTTCCTTTGACCCCAGCAAGATTCCCCCCCGAACATGTGAGGCCTCCTCAAGGACGGTGGGTTCAACTTAGAGTCACCTTTTCGGATGCAACCTGCCTTGTCGCAGCGCTGGCCCCGAGAGCCGTGCAAGGTGTCCCAGGTCAGGTGCTTCCCTCTTCGCAAAGTACTCGTACCTATCTGAGACCTCCTCCAGCCTGGTGGGTTAAGTTCGGTCAGTTGGGGTCACATTTTCTCGACCAGGTATGAAATTTTGCCCTGTCGCAGCGCTGGCCCCAGGAGCCGCGCAAGGCGTCCCAGGTCAGGCTTCGCAAACTCAGCTTCCCTGCATCCAATTTGGGCATCCTACTTGGAACGTGCAAGGCCGCCTTGGTGCGCTCTGCCTACGGCCCTCTGCCAGTTGTTTAGCGTTACCTGTGTGAGACGTCACTAGACGGGAACGCTGAGTGTCGGCCTCACCAGAGGTACGGCTCGCTAAACAGCTGGTGCGTGGGTGCTGGACGCAGTGACTCACAGTAGGGTGTCGGGGTAGCCGCGCTTACTTTTCACTCTTTTGCAGTGCTGAGTACTTGAAATCGGAGGCTGCCTCCGTGCCAACTTCAATTTCTTCATTGATTCATTGCATCAGATCAGGAGGTTTCCTCCTGAATATCCTTAAGTACTCTGCCAAAGCAGATTCAGTATAGCAGGTAGTGAGACCTGGCAATCTGGAGGAAGCGATCCTCCCGAAGTCCAAAAGGCCGGACTGTGAAATAACAAAGGCGGGTGAGACCTTCTATATCACACTTGCCCGCCTTAATCACACCAAACTCAGCTAGCGTACAGCTATAGCCTGCAACACAACATCGGGGCCAGCCGGCACTGCAGCAGTCGCGGGTGCAGGTGAGCCAGTAGGAAGCGGTCGTAGGGTGCCCAGCCAGCACAGCGCTATCGCAGCCCCGAGGGGCGGATGCATTCCACATACTCGAACATAGCTGTGCACAACAATCTTCAGCAGCCCTGAGGGGCGTGAAGTACGAACTAGCAAAGACTGCTGGAGCTCCCAAGGCGGATACAGAGTAGCCGACGTGCCGAGGATCCAAAGTGATCAGAGGTCCACATGCTGATTCTGGCAGTGAGTGCAATGCAAAATGTTGTTGTTGTTGTTGTGTGTGTTGTTGTGCGTGTGTTGTTGTGCGTGTGTTGTTGTGCGTGTGTTGTTGTGGGTGTCTGTTTGTTGTTGTTGTTGTTGTTGTTGTTGTTGGTGTTGTTGTTGTTGTTGTTGTTGTTGTTGTTGTTGTTGTTGTTGTTGTTGTTGTTGTTGTTGTTGTTGTTGTTGTTGTTGTTGTTGTTGTTGTTGTTGTTGTTGTTGTTGTTGTTGTTGTGTTGTTGTTGTTGTTGTTGTTGTTGTTGTTGTTGTTGTTGTTGTTGTTGTTGTTGTTGTTGTTGTTGTTGTTGTTGTTGTTGTTGTTGTTGTTGTTGTTGTTGTTGTTGTTGTTGTTGTTGTTGTTGTTGTTGTTGTTGTTGGTGTTGTTGTTGTTGGTTGTGTTGTTGTTGCTGTTGTTGTTGTTGTTGTTGTTGTTGTTGTTGTTGTTGTTGTTGTTGTTGTTGTTGTTGTTGTTGAAGCACTACCAGCTCAAGCCGCCCGCGCATGGTAGCTGTCGAACCGGCCAAGGCCCCGAACTTCATCTCATTAACAGTTTTCGGGGCCCTCTAACATCTCAAGGCTTTCTAGCTCTTGCCAGCTGTGGTCACTTTGAGGCATTAGCCTCAAGCATTTGAGATTCCGCTGCAGACAGCATAACCACGAGCTGGCCCGGTCCCAATTCCGGGGGGAGACATAGATCGTCTTAGATTGCATCTATCACTCCCAAGTGTGAGGGTTCTCGTCTTTCCGCAGGACGAGGGGAGTCTGATCGTGCTCCGGCACTTCAGTCGAAACAAGCGGATGGCAGAGGGGATAATTTTGAGGCTTTTACAATGGATGACGGGTTTTTCTATGCGCTGGTTCACAAAGCAGAGCAATGGTGTTCTTAGTTCATGCAGGTCTTGCCGCGGCTTGACAACAATCAACAGTGTTTTTATTTCAGTGGCATGTCTACAGATGCTGTCCGACGAAGCGGTCCTACTAGCGGGAGCCTCGAGCCCCAGCCAAGTTGACGGAGACAATCCTGAGTCCCTGCTGCGCAGCGGCAGATCTCTATACGGCCCTTCATCATTGCCTCTGGTACTCGGAAGCTGAAGTCGGACGGCGCTGGCCAATGCGTATTTGCAAATCTGGTATTGTTCACAGTTCAGGCGAGAAAGTCTTCAGATGTTTCATCACCAGCTTTGAGGATGCCGCGCAGCAGTTTCCAGTTTGAGGGAAAGCCATTTACCCAACGTTTCTCAATGTATTCTACTCCAAGCCTTCAGTACTGAGCTAGGCGGGCTGGCGCGGCCAGCGCTTGGCGCGGCTGCAGACCTAGGGGAGGAGGTCGTGACGGCCCGCTAGCTCCAGGAGAAGCTCTTGAGTGGTTACGCAGTCCAAAAGAACTCCGCTGGGACACTCAGTGCAAGGGTATTAGCCCCGAAAGCTATGCTCGCACGCTTTTACATAACGCTCTCCTCGGCTTGTTTCTTCGCTGCGCTTGTGATCTCAACGTCACACCAACCCACCTTGAACCCAACACCCTACACACTTTCACTTGCGCATCTTCCAATCAATGCTGGTGAGAAGGCCAACATTTCAGCCTAGTAGTCCCGTTCGTCGTGTCAGGCTCATGCAGTGCCTAGTAGTCCCGCTCGTCGGGTAAGGCAGCAAGATGTAACTTTCATTTCTTTGCTTGGTCAAGACAGCCTAGCAGTCCCGTCCGTCGGGTGAGGCAGTGCTGTGGCCTAGTAGTCCCGTTCGTCGGGTAAGGCACTGAAGAATGATGCTAGCTGGTTGCCAGTTGTTATTTCAGTTTCTTTAACTCACACTGCAGTGGCAGCGGCCTGGGCGAGAATATCTCTGAAAAAGGCGTTCTCCATGAGAAGCCTAAGTTTCCAGCTCAGTGCTTTCACGCCATCCTACGCTAGCAGAAGCGGCCTGAGCCATAATTTTCCTCTAGTGAGGTCGCCTCCTGAACTTTAGCCTACGCAACTTCTTAGCAGGGTTTCACAGCTCAGACTTTTCCGCTTCATTTGCTCATTCTAGGCTGTGGTTGTGTAGCTGCCTTGTAGCCTTGTTTGTATTGTCAGTAGTTTCTTGAAGCAGCCGCTTAAGCCATAAGCACCACTCTGGAGCTACTGCTTTTCCTTACCTGCACGTTTCGTCGCTCATATCTGCTGCATCAGCAGAGCCTGAGCGCGGGAGAGTTTTGTCTAGTAGCAGCTGCCCATAGTCTTAAGCGCTAGCTCTTCTTCTCAACTGACCGAGCATTTAAGTCGGGGATAACCCCTCCGGAACTGTGAATAATACTTTGATTGATTGCTCTGCTTTTTGAACAACTGCACTGCTCTACTCATGGGTTTTGGGTTTCAGGTCGTGTTTTCTTGTCGGTTCGTAAAGTGCAAGGTGCAGTTTTTGCCTGCTGTACACGGACTTGGTCAAAAAATCGTGTGAGGTCCCCCTCCTGGTTAAAGTCCACCGTGTTGCAGCTAGTTTGTGCAGAGTGCAGTTTTGCCTGCTGTGCACGGCCGGGTCACCATTGTACAGTTGATGAAAATTGACATCGTGCTTGTGAAACCGCGTGAGGTCTCCTCCTAGTCCACTGACCTCCGTGTTGCAGCTAGTCTAACCCAGCTTTTGGCGACAGCTGCCGGGCAAGACAGTCAACAAATGCGCTTTTCTTGTCCTGCCTTTTTCATTCGTTTGCTAGAGGCTTTACCTCACACACAGCGCTCAAGTTGACTTAGAATTAGCCGTCACTTTAAGTCATTCTACCCCTCGATGCCCGCCAAGGTGTGGGACATGACCCGCACATGCGTCCGAAATGAAATGAAAAAATGTTGCTGTTGTTGTTGTTGTTGTTGTTGTTGTTGTTGTTGTTGTTGTTGTTGTTGTTGTTGTTGTTGTTGTTGTTGTTGTTGTTGTTGTTGTTGTTGTTGTTGTTGTTGTTGTTGTTGTTGTTGTTGTTGTTGTTGTTGTTGGTTGTTGTTGTTGGTTGTTGTTGTTGGTTGTTGTTGTTGGTTGTTGTTGTTGGTTGTTGTTGTTGGTTGTTGTTGTTGGTTGTTGTTGTTGGTTGTTGTTGTTGGTTGTTGTTGTTGTTGTTGTTGTTGTTGTTGTTGTTGTTGTTGTTGTTGTTGTTGTTGTTGTTGTTGTTGCTGCTGTTGTTGTTGTTGTTGTTGTTGCTGCTGCTGTTGTTGCTTCTGTTGTTGCTGGTGTTGTTGTTGTCTCCAGTAAATCCTCCTAAGAGGTTGTCCCAAGCTTGGACGTTTACCCTCCAGAGGGAAAGGCCCCCCGTAGCAGTTTTGGAGGCCCTTTTCTGAGGTTTCCAAAGGGAGTAAATCCTCAACAGGATGCAAGCAGTTTGGAAAAGTCCGCCACGAGAAAATTTTGGTATTGTTGTTGTTTTTGTTGTTGTAGGTATTTTTAAAAACTTACGCATACCACCCACCAAAGACCCCTAAGAAGGATTTCTCGTTGTAAGAACGCCCCTCCCATGTAGCTTGTTCGGGGCCATGGCATTCAAGTCAAGTCCAGTCAGACGGCCGAAGGCTCGTGCTGGGTGCCATAGACGCCCTGGCCGAAATGCGCGCGTGAGTCCGCCAGAGATGCAAAGAGCTCGGCCGCCGTCTGCTCGAGATTTGCCACGTTCTGATGCCACAGTTTCCGATTAGTTTTCCATTTTCCAGCGCACATGGAACAGAAAATTGGAAAACACATGGACATGGAGAATTAGACTCACATGGAACCTGCTGCACTCGTCGTCGCCTCAAGCATGCCAAGTACGTTCTATAATGTGTTAGATCGAAATTATTGGGGAACTTCTGCGGCATGAGCCACCGCAAACTCAAGAGGACTCAAGAGGACTCTGCCCATGCGTGTGGCTATTTTTCAACTTATAGAGGAACCCCTGAAATCCACACAAAACGGCATATGCCCCTTTGCTTCGTCAGCAGGTCCTGAAACGCAAGCTCGTTGGTATAGTGGTAAAGTACGATAAGATCTTCGCCATCGCCGCGCTTCGCACCCTGCATTTCCCGAAGATCAAAGGCATGTTGCCAAACTTGCACAGGCCCATCTGCCGCGTCATACCTCGGGTGCGGTGCTGGGCGGATTCGGGAGAGCTGCACCTCTTAGCGTCTCAAGGCCCAAGCAGGGGGGGGAAATACGATGGGCATAACACTTCGAAGAGAGCCCGCGGCCCCCCACCTGAATGTGAGAAGCTCGCCGACGGAGTCCTCGGAATATTGCGTTCCTTCGTAAAGGTGTCCCTGGACGTATGGGCCCAGAAAATACTGGGAGAGCTCGCCCAGCTCGCTCTGCTGGACTGCCTCCCGGCTTTATTAAGAACTATTAAGCAAGGAGGCTTCGGCAAAAGGCTGGGGGCTGGCACTTATGAACTCGATGAGCGTTGCTCTTGAATCAGCGTTACTGCATCCGCGTCCTCGTTTTATGTTTGCTGCTGTTCGCATTGTTGCTGTTGCCATTTTGACTGTTGTTCTTACAGGCATCGTTATCATCAGTGCGTTTCACATGATAAGCTGACATTGCTATTGCTACTATATAGTCTATTGGAGTCCTTCCTGTTCTATGGCCTCCTAGACTCGGAGACTGGGGCGCTTCTCCTCGCGCTTCTTTTGCTTATCTCCGAGGGCCCGTATGGGTGCTGAGAAAAACTACCACAAGCACACAAGGGGTCATTCAAGGAGAATGATGCCAGAAGAAAGGTTGGGTTGTTTTAGAGCTCCAAAACGACGTTATCCTCCCTAAGCCCCTTTTCAGAAACCGACAGTCATTCTGAGGTTTGTCACTTGCCTTCCTGGAGCTATGTCAAGGGGACGCGCAAAAAGGGGCCCGAGAGTGGGCGTCCCCTGCCTCAAAAGCGAGGGAAGCGCGCAGCTGAGGCGGCACACTGCAAGCAGACAGTCAGACGGTCTTCTATCAAACCTACCTCGTCGCCTGATGGAACGTCTGACCTTCTCATTGACTGTCTGCCGCGCGGATTTTCTCCTGCCCGGCGACCTCAATCTCAAAATCTAGGCTTCGACGAGCCCTTCGCATTGCCTGGCAAAGACGAGCAAACATCGGTTCGGGATGCCCTCTCAAATATTTTACAGTCGGCTCACCACCTTTGCAGCTCGCAGCTCGCGTGCGATCCCTGTTCTGTCATGCAAGGCGTGGGACCAATAATTTGCTATCATGAGTGAGTCCGGCAGTGCAAATAGGCTTTCGCAGCCCCGGGGCCGCAAATCCCACCGAGGGCCTCTTGGGAATTTACTCTCCTCTCGGCTACAGCGTCGACCTCTGAAATTCACGCATCACAACCTTGACAAACTGCTCAGGACCAAACAGGGCGCACTATGTGCTGGAAGATGGCAGCATGAACGCGCCTGGGGCCGCCTCTCCTCGAAATTGCGTTGCGCGTGTATAGTAGCGCGACGATTCGTACTCAGAAATGACGACCCTCTCCCGTGCTTAATTGGCTCTTTTTCAGCGCTTTGGCATCGAAACCCCTGTTGCTTTGTAGCACAAAAGTTGAGGACGCGAATGGCGCTCCGAGGCCTCCTGGAGCTCCTTACGGCCTCGAAACTCGTCGTTTTTCTTTTTTTTACAAATGAAGTGCTCGCATCAGATTGCATCACACGCCCAAGAAGGCCAACCAAGGAACATACTTACAGCAGCAAGCAGCAAACGAGGTGTTTTGGATCCAAGCAACATGCCAAGAAACAGCGCCAACAGAAGAAGCTCCATTAACAAAGGCATTGCTGATTGCCACCTTGTCTCTCTCTCCCCTCTCTGCCCTAACAATTACCGGCAAGGAACGCCTGACTTCTCTTGATATTATATACCCGTTGTGTTACGTTGGTCTCTCAACGGACACCAACACCCACAAGAAAACACAACAAAGCACAACAAAGCGCGTCCGCATGCCTCGCTGTGGCACCCGAAAATCACGTCGAGCAGCTGCTCTTCGTGCCTCACGACAGACTCCCGACAAGAGAGGGTAGCGGATCACAGCAACCTAGCAAAGTCGAACAACGACGAGACAGCGGCGAAACGACGACAACCCGAGGTGGACAGCTGTTGTTGCTGTAGAAAACGAATCCTTGCGGAATGGTTCCGTGGATCTCAGACCACTCCGCAGATGCCTCTTGCACCGATGGCTCCTCTCCTCGGCTCAGCCTCCGTGTGGACCCGACCAGACCCCCGCTTGGCCACTCGATCAGCACTTTTAGGGGCCGCTCCAAGCCAGGCACTCTCGAGGCCCGAGGGTTTCGAGCCTTGACCCCTGCGCCTTCCCGCCGGACCTTCCCCCGGCTCTAGAAGTCGACTCTTTGACACGCAACCAAAGGAAAACACACACGCACACACATGCTTCTCCAAAAAAACCGTCATAGCACAGCCACACATGATACAGCAAAAGAAAATGCTGGAAAGCAGAGGCCCAGACTGATGTGTGTCCCTTCTGGACCGTGACCACAATGTGTGAGCACCATGTTCACCACCTCCGAGGTACAGCCGATTCGTCGAAGTAGTTCAACGCAGCCTTCGCACACAGCGACGTTGCCCAATGATGCACCGCAGGCTGCGCTCACTGATGTTGCAAGCTGGGGCACGTTCACGCGGGATGCCATCGTCTGACCCTGTCAGGTAAGGCCGAATCATCACCTCGATGCGGTCGCGGGCCTCACATATAGGAGCAAGTCACAAAGCTACCGTTGCTCACCGGGGCACAGAGGCAGACCCATCAGACGGGGACCCCATTGTGATGGCATGTTGAGTGAGAAATATCGCTTCTCTGGTGCTAATCCTAGCCTTAGCTGAACTGCTCTATAGCTCTTTTGCCGTCCTATGCAGCTTGCAACCTGGCCTGCGGCTGGGTGCGCTCACTACCTCGAGGCTCTGGGTCTGCCTCGGCCACAGAAGCTCTGGGTGGATCTCACTTCTGGCGGTCTGGCACACAAAGCATCGGCCCAGGCCGGCCTTACTGCCGCCTGTTGCTCCTTCGTATCCGCTTTCTCACCGAATGCGAAGTGAACATGAGGACATGAGGAGATGGGATGGGATGTGACGTGATGTGACAGCAGTGTTGAGCCACATGCTGATTGGCGTGATTGAGCAAGTTGGCCTGTGGCTGGCAAACTTGAGGAGCATCCTATGAATCTCGAATGCTCCCACTACGCACTTGCGACGCTGTGCTGGTCACACCAAACGAACTCCAGAAAATCCGAGCGCTGCGCTGGCCAAAACGAACTCCAGAGCATCTAAGCGCTGGCCACACAAAACGATCTCCAAGGCATCCGAGCGCTGCGCTGGCCACACGAACTCTAGAGTTAGAGCATCCGAGCACTGCGCTGGCCACGCAAAACGAACTCCAGGGCACACGAGCGCTGGCCACACAAAACAAATTCACGGCATCCGAGCACTGCGCTGACCACGCAAAACGAACTCCAGAGCATGCGAGCGCTGTGCTGGCCACGCCAAACGAACTCCAGAGCAGCCGAGCGGTGCGCTGGAGTTCGTTTTGTGTGGCCAGTGAGATGCTTTGGAGGTCGTTTTGCGTGGCCAGCGCAGTGCTCGGATGCCTTGGAGTTCGTTTGGTGTGGCCAGCGCTCAGATGCTCTGGAGTTCGTTTTGTGTGGCCAGCGCAGCGCTCGGATGCCTTGGAGATCTGTTTGTGTGGCCGGCGCTCAGATGCTCTGGAGATCGATTGGTGTGGCCTGCACAGCGCTCGGATGCTCGTTTTGTGTGGCCAGCGCAGTGCTCGGACAGCGCTCGGATGCCCTGGAGATCGTTTTGTGTGGCCAGCGCAGCGCTCAGATGCTCTGGAGTTGGTTTTGTGTGGCCAGTACAGTGCTCGGATGCTATAACTCTATAGACTCTAGATTTCGTCTTGTGTGGCCAGCGCAGCGCTCGGATGCTCAAGAAATCGTTTGTGTGGCCAGCGCAGCGCTCGGATGCCTTGGAGTTCGTTTGGTGTGGCCAGCGCAGCGCCTGTGTCCTCTGGAGTTCATTTTTGTGTGGCCAACGCAGCGTGCGGATGCCCAAGAAATCGTTTTGTGTGGCCAGCGCAGCGCTCGGATGCCTTGGAGATCGTTTTGTGTGGCCGGCGCTCAGATGCTGTGGAGCTCGATTGGTGTGACCAGCACAGCGCTTGGATGCTCTGGAGTTCGTTTTGTGTGGTGAGCGCAGCGCTCGGATTCTCTGGAGTTCGTTTTGTGTGGCCAGCGCAGCGGTCGGATGCTCTGGAGATCGTTTTGTATGGTCAGCGCAGCGCTCGGATGCTCTGGAGTTCGCTTTGTGTGGCCAGCGCAGTGCTCGGACGCTCTAACTCTAGAGTTCGTTTTGTGAGCGCAGCGCTCGGATGCCCTGGAGATCGTCAGCGCTTGGATGCTCTAACTCTATATAGACTCTAGAGTTCGTTTTGTGTGGCAGCACGCGGATGCTCAAGACACCGTTTTGTGTGGCCAGTGCAGCGCTCGTGTGCTCTGGAGTTCGTTTCGTGTGGCCAGCGCAACGCTCACATGCTTTGGAGTTCGTTGTGTGTGGCCAGTGCAGCGCTCGGATGCCTTGGAGATCGTTTCCCGAGCGCCGCTGCGCTGGCTGCACAAAACGAACCCCAGAGCATCCGAGCGCTGCGCTGGCCATACAAAACGATCTAGAGTTAGAGCGTCCGAGCACTGCGCTGGCCACACAAAACGAACTCCGAAGCATCTGAGCGCTGCGCTGCGCTGGCCACGCAAAACGAACTCCCTCTGGATCCGAGCGTCACAAAACGAACTCCAAGGCATCCGAGCGCTGCGCTGGCCACACAATACGAACTCCAGAGCTTTCGAGCGCTGTGCTGGCCATGCCAAACGAACTCCAGAGCATCGATCTGAGCACTGCGCGACGCTGGCCACGCAAAACGAACTGCAGAGCACCCGAGCGCTGCGCTGGCCACGCAAAACGATCTCCCAGGCATCCGAGCGCTGCGCTGACCACACAAAAGGAACTCCAAGGCATCTGAGCGCATGACTCACCAACGCACCACACACCATCTTACCACACCTGGCACCAACGCGCCACACACCATGACTGACACACACACACACAGACACACCCCATGACGTTTGGCAGGCGCGACTGACACCATTCACAACGCGCCGCACCTCCAGCGCAGGTGCAATACCCCGGATGGAGAAGCGAAAAAGGCTGTGATTTGACACTAACACATTTGCATCCAGCACCCATGTGGCAGGTCTCCCCAGCTCGCTGACGACATGATGGATCTCTCTGCTGTGACAAGTGGAAAAGATCTCGCTGAAAATCCGTTTGGTGGATGATAAAC